ACATAGGATGGCCTTGTTCCCACGAGTGACAGCGGGGAATCGAACTCTAAACCTCTGGCTCCACAGCCAGATTCTTAACAAACTGAAATTATAATCAGTACAACTTACTTCTGTGTAAATATGCAGATGATTGCTGAATTATGTTACCAGGAGGCTCAGCTTTAAACAGTTTGTTTCCAATTATTTCTTTATGTTAACAGAATATTGGAGGCCACAAAAGAAATATTATGGCTTTAATGTAAAAGCACATGAATGCTTTCCTTGTACATCTGTTTAATGAGAGGTACTTCAAGGGAGACTGAACTGCAGAAAAGCAGGCATGCAAGCTGCTTTCTGCTCTCTGAACCAATAGAAACAGATCCCGAAGAGTTAAAATATTCTCTGAGCTGCTGGTGTACTTTCTGTGACCTTGTTCAGTGCAGAGAAGGCTTGAAATCCAACACAGTTTAACCAGTTCTATCCATGTAGCTATAAAGGAAAGCCCTTACTAAAGAGTGCAAATGGAGAAGTCAGCAAGAAAGCAGACCCTGCTCTCACAAGTCTGACTGCTGGAAAATATTGATCCCATTATCGAGGGTAAGTTCACACAATTTGTGAACATGATACAAGTGGCAGTTTTTGTGTGACAAACTGCAGCTACTGTGCAATTGCCTGCCCGCATGTGAAAAGCTATTTCTCTGACTGGCTATTTGTATTACCTATGACACAAGCTTGAGGACACAGAGAGAAACAACAACCTGTCTGTGGTAGCAGGTTAGTGATAACACCTTTAAGCTGCCCCTCTTAGGTACTGTTTATAACACAGATAACAACGGTAGTCCTAGAGTGATATTGGCTGATCTGTGAAAACACTATAAGGCTTCATCCCAGTTCCCACAGGAAACAGTGGCAGGTGGCCACCTGACATACAGATGCAAAGATGCTTAATTATACCTAATGTAACAAATTTTGCTCTAATTCTGGATGTGTTTGCCAGAGTGGGAACCTGGAAAAAGGTTGAGGGGATGTTTTCCTGTGCTGGGGTGGAAAATCCTATGTGGGCAGTGAGCAAGACTACAAGTGAGCATTGTATTAATGCACATGTAACCGCATGTCAGACATAATCCTATTAAAGTGTTTCTTTTCCCTCACATGACTACTGCATGGAGCAAGCATGCTAGACCCACCCCCAGATCTCCTACAGCAGTGGTCCCCAACCTTGGGTCTCCAGATGTTCTTAGAATACAACTCCCAGAAGCCTTCACCACCACCTCTGCTGGCTAGGATTTCTGGGAGTTGAAGTCTAAGAACATCTGGAGGCCCAAGGTTGGGGACCATGCCCAACCGTCCACACATACCCAATTTGTCAACCACAGAGCAGCCAAGATCACAGGTGGAGCTTGAAAGTTATTTTTAAAGGTATTTATTTACTATTTTAAAACTACTAAGTTATGCTTGCAGATTTAGAAGTAACAATTTGGCTTCCTGTTTTTTCAGAGGGAACTTAAATAATTAGCTTTTAACTTTTTTTTAAACCCTTCTTTTGCTTCAGGATGCTGGCACACAGTACAAAATGCATTCTTTGCTTTCAACTCATTCTTGCCCAAATTTGCCATAGAACACTAGGCACAGCTGGAATTGGCATTTCAGTCATGCAATATTTTCCTCCATCGTTTAGTGACACTGCATGCTGTAATTATCTAGCTTACTAAAATGTTAGCAAAATAACAACAAATAATCTAGTGGCCCCTTAATGATTAACAGGTTTTATTTAGCACAAGCTTTTATGGATGTGCTTTTAGCATTACGAGTATACCAGAAAAGTGTTATGTTATCCCTTGTCAAATTATAGCAGTAATGCAGTTGCACGTTGTTATTGGGAAAAGGAATGAATTACACCAAGTCCTTATGTGTCACAAGTCACTTCTACAGTCTGCTCATACACACCCTTTCACTTTCCAAATGTCCCCCCAACACATGTGGAGAAGGGGGGGCAGCAAGGGATATGAGTAGTATGATGGGCTAACGTTGCAGCCCTGCTCCATCCATGCACAATGTCAATAGCACAGAGAAACCAATGACCGACTAGCATTATAGTGTTGTTACACTGGAGGCATGCAACTGACAATACAATAAGGTTGTTGTTCTCTTTGCATAATTTCTTCATAGTATGTGACACATGTGTCCTGTTTCGTCCATGCACCATGTTGTTCTAATTTTATAAAAGAAGCACACAATTAAATCCTGTCTTAAGCTTTTATGCTAAATTATTTTGAAATTATAACTGCCAAATGAAACCAAATGATGATGCTTCTTGTTTCTGACCTTTAAAACATTATACTGTGACCATGAAAACATTCTAAATAAAAGCTATAGTTGTCCTAAACACAAGTTTCTCTTGTTAATTCTTCCCTTACTCATGATTATGGGAAATTAAGTACAGCCTTAATATTTTACAACATCTGGCTCAAATTAGCTGCTAACAAAACTGCCAACAGCTATTTTCTTAATTGACATTTGGAAATTTGAAATGGACCAGAAAAAGCACATTCAAAAAGTGTCCTTGTCTAAGAGGAATAAGAAGTATTTTGGTCAAGCTTCTGATTCAACTATAAAAAATGTCTGAGCAGGGGAGGGTTATCCTAACATCAAGGTCAAATTAGTGTTGGCTGAGGACAAGAGGTTTTTCAATTCTTGGTGGTTTTTCAATTCTATCTTCCATCGGAGACTAGAAAGCAAATCTTTAAAGGCGTTTCCTTAATCTTCTCAGTAGATTAACCAAACAGAGACATTACCCCTATCCCATAAATTTCTTTTCTCCCACCCATGGAAATGATACATCTTAAATTTATCCCTTCAGATTCCTATCAAGGTTTTCTTCACTGTTTCTGGATCACTGGGTTTTCTACATATATTAATGCATTACATCAAGGAAGCTCATGAACAAGAAATGGAAATTCAGATAGTGCTGAATTCGAAGTAATTTTAGGGACTAAGCATCACATTCAGTTTGGGCTTCAGTTCCATCAGTCAAGAAGAGAGTTGAGGAACAGCTGTAGAGAATGCTGTGAAAATATTTTAGCTCTGGTCTCCACCCCAAAGCAAGGCAGGAAAGAATTTTTACATTTACCACATGAAGAGAAAATACAGAAAACAGGTTCATATAGATCAATGGTGTCTCCATTCCTTGAATTTTATTGCAAGGTTCTGATTGTGCTACTTCCAAAACGAAAAAAAGGACAACATGAGTTTTAAAAATGCTTCAACTGGTCCAGAGAAAAATATGACATGATTGTTGTGGGTTTTTCGGGCTCTTTGGCCGTGTTCTGAAGGTTGTTCTTCCTAACGTTTCGCCAGTCTCTGTGGCCAGCATCTTCAGAGGACAGCGCTCTGTGCTCTGAAGGCTCAACAAGCCTTCGCAAATACAAAAATATGACAGTTACAAGCACAACTGTACTACTGATACTAAGCAAATCCCTCAGGAATGCCTAGATGGGAACTGGAATGGAAGCCACTCATGCCTCACACTGAATGTTTTTGTGGGACACTGAGGCATCACGGAGCCTATATTGTTTTCTTTAAAAAGTTTGGTCATAAGCATGTCTATTCAGACTGAATGAGTTCTTTGGGATGTACTTCCTTGGTATATTTAAATAAACTTTAATACGAAACACTATAGAAATAGATCATGAACTGTGTGGCTCACAAGGTTCAAAAACTTTAGCCTTTTGTGAAATGTCAGGTTCTCCATGTTAGTGTCTCTGAACAGATATAAGGTCAAACTGTTTAGTAATATAAAGAGATCCATACGGTTAGCAGTATTCTGAATGAAAAGCCTCAGACCAAAGGGAACTTCAGATCCAGTCCATAAGACAGTGGGCCAAATGCTTTAGAATAAGATTTGCCTGATTTGGTACAATGGCTAAATATTACTCTTGTATAAGGCAAGATTAGAAAACAGCAAGAGGGATGTGTATGTAAGATGTGGTCTGTTATACTTCTATTTGTGTTCACAAAGAACATAAAGAAGCTTGGTCTGATAATTTATTATTTTTCTCTGCATTACTGAAATCATGAATTTTAGAGCAAGCACTGTGATGTGAACTTCCTTTTCGCACTAGACTTTTGTTGTTTTCTCTAACAAATTTGTGATCCTTGAAGTTAGGACCTTAAAAGACAACTTTGATCCCTTATGTAGCAGAGGTTTTAGTAACTGCTCTGTGTGATACCATCTGTCCTATACTAATTGATGTCAAGTACTAGAACTAACTTCCATTGTAACTTTAACAGAATTTCTTTTAATTTGGGTTTATTTTTAAGTTGAAGCCTTGTATCTTTTTATTCACAAATGTTGCTGTGTCTGCTTTAAAAAACTGCAGCCATGAGGGTTTTTTTTTTAAAAAAATATATAAGCTTGCCCAACTGAGCAAATGATGAAGGAAACAGCTATAGATTAAAATTATATCCTTAAAACATTTGAATGAAATGATAAATGTGTACATTTGTAATCCTATGGAAATCAATTGCCAGCTGCCATGTTTAGCCAATGGAATGAAACTGAAGCTTCTCTCCTGAAGGTGGCTGAACGGTTTCTCTACAAAACAGTTAACATACTGTAGTGGGCTCAATATTTCTTACAGTCACTGTCTAATCTGCCTTGTGCAGTCATTATATAGAATGGGAGACTAAAAATTTATTTTGAATTTTGATTGTGAAAGTTCAAGTTGCGAAAGAGGTTACCAGATTGTGGGGAAATAATTTGTGTATGTCTGATGCACAGCATTAAACCTGTTTATATATATACCAGTTATGAAAGAGGCTCCTCTGTTTCAACAAGACTCTTCTCCAAACAAATACGAACAGACAAATATTGGAACTGACATTTCACTGTTGTTACTCAGACCATGGAAATGAACTGACTGGTTGAGAGACGCAAGTCACTTGCCAAAGCAACGCTAGAGTACACACCAGAGAGTTAACAAGCAGCATGGCAAACAGAGCAGTAGTTGAAAGCTTCCCACCTGTGTCTGTTGAGGGATATTTACAAAGCTTGGATCCCGTGGTCCAACACTGACGAATCGGTTTGCAGGGGAGGTGCTGGGTGTCGAATAGGCTGTGAAGGGAAGGGACACATGCGTTCAGGAAGCAGCACTAGATCACAGACAAACAACACCAGAAACAACAAAGCCATCTAAACAAATGCTAACATACAAATGAAGTAATGTTTTAAAGGGCAGGAATCTGACTATGGACGACTGGATTCTGAATGATGGAGAGAATAGTTATGGACATAATCAGGCAACAATATCTTTTTTCAGCATAAACTGAAATGATGTCACCTATCTGGAGGAAGGCACATCAAATTCAATGCAACCAGTCTTGTCTTTTGCGACAGGACACATGACACAAGGATCCATGTGCAGTGAACACTGGGCTTGTAGTCAACCACTCCAGTCATTCTCAGGGACAAAGGCATGATCTTTACTAGTGCTTTACATTAATTCACATGCATTTTGCAACAACTGGCTATTTAGTCCAGAATTCAAGCTCCATATTCAGGATGGGAGAAATCCTGAATAATTTTTATCAAAAGCTTAACATAACAAAAGTATCAACAAACAGGACACAATGAAATGTAGGTGCACTAGGTCAGTGGAAATGTATATAAATAAGCTGAGATTTATATAAAGCTTTTGACTATGATGTAACGACTCATGGCCCCTCTCCTCAGGTTCCATGAGTGCCCGTACTGCGGTAAGTAATCTGGAGTGCCAGCACTAAATGCTGTATGAATAAGTGAATTAAACCCCTTCCAAACTCATTAGTTACATCAGGCAGAGAAATTCTAAGCGAGGTGGGGAATTATGGCAGCCAGGGCGGGCTGTGAGATAGATAGACATACATACATTTTGTGTGCCTGCCATTCAATTCCCCTCTTAATTTTTTTTCCAATGGGAAAGGAAGTACCTATACTAGCTGAAGGGTGACATTAACTATAGGGGACATTAACTATAGGGGAATTGAATGGCAATAGGCTGACATTAACTATAGGGGAATTGAATGGCAATAGGCTGACATTAACTATAGGGGAATTGAATGGCAATAGGCTGACATTAACTATAGGGGAATTGAATGGCAATAGGCTGACATTAACTATAGGGGAATTGAATGGCAATAGGCTGACATTAACTATAGGGGAATTGAATGGCAATAGGCTGACATTAACTATAGGGGAATTGAATGGCAATAGGCTGACATTAACTATAGGGGAATTGAATGGCAGACACACAAAATGTATGTATGTCTATCTATCTCACAGCCCGCCCTGGCTGCCATAATTCCCCACCTAGCTTAGAATTTCTCTGCCTGATGTGACTAATGAGTTTGGAAGGGGTTTAATTGCCTGCTCCTGGCATTTCTCAGTAGAGTGAATGGGCTGGGGGATCCTGTGGAGCCAATGATGTCCCTGACCTACTCCTAGAAAACTCTATTTTGGGGACCTATTACTTCTAAAACACTACTAAAAATGTGTGTTTTCATAGGCATAGGACCCTTCTCCCTGCTGGAAGAACAGATCTGCCCCATTCTAACCCCTGTTAGTCAATGGTTCAGGGAGTTAGGATTGCGCTGTACATTTTTAATATAAGAGGAACCTTTCCTCGCTACTTTTTTTTCCCTAGGCCTTCACACTATTCAAATTGAAATACTCAACATATTTAAAAATAAAAGTGTACTGAACATGTTCCACATACATGAGTTCATTTAACAAGAACCCCATGTCTGTGCATGATACTACTCCGTGTAATTACAAACTGGTAACATGGCTTACATAATAAGCAGCCATTACTCCCCCTGTAATAATTAAAGTGTTAATTTAAAAGAAGACAACCCCGAATGCAGATTAGGATAGTGGGTGTTATGTCTTTTTTTTTTTTTTTACAGACAGAATTATTTGTATCAGTGAAAATCATATCCCTTTGAATACTGGACAAAGCCTCATGGAAGGCTAAACAAGTGATTCTAAAAAGTACTTAAATTAATCTGCCACAATATAGTGCCATAATTTTGCATGAGACTTTCATTCAACTACTCCTGGACAAATATCAACTTTTAATATCCCAATAAACAATGGTCAATATTTTATTGGCTAAACATGGTGGAACAGTAAATGGTAAGTGTCTACACTACTCCAGAACGGTCAGTATGAAAACACTGCAAGGGTTGCCATAAGTTGAAAGCAACTTAACGACACAGCCTTCCTATTGTGCAACCAATTGCATGGGTGAACTCACAACCAGTGTGAGGAAAGGCATGGACCAGAGAGCTTGCCAGAGCACAAGGAATGCTTATGCTGTTGCCCTTCCATTCCACGTTTAAGCAACAGGTTACTGGGCAATACATATAATAACTATGATTTTAAAAAATCAGGAACATGAGAATGAGATATACTCTATGTGGCATAATGATCCCAACATTCTATATCATATGATGTTGAAGATTTATTCCCAATATCTTTGGCAAATCAGAGCCTGATCCCACTAATGAATGGAAGAGGGATTTTCCCCCCAGTTCAGTGTAAGGTTGCATGACTTGGGGGCCAGTGTGTGTGTGTCCTCACCACTGCCACCTCTGCTGCCATTGCCACTTCCCATCTCTGAGCAGGTAGCTCAGCTCAGCTGGAGATGCAGGGAATAGATTATCTACGTAGGAGGGGGAGGAGGATGAGACGGAAAGGGGTGGAAAAGAAAAGAGGGAAAGGGGGAGGAGGAGGCGAGGGCAAGAGGCAACAAGGGATGGAAAGAAAAGGCAAGCGAGGGCTGAGGAGGGGATGGCGCAGAAGCAGGTGATTGAGGGGAACAGAGGGTGGGAAAGATTTGGAGGCAAGGAGAAGAGATTGGTTGAGGGGTGGGGCAGAAAGGTGGTGGGGGATGAAAAGAGAGGGGGGGAAGGCTGGGCATGGCTGGCTGGTGGCTGAGAATCAGCTCTTTGGTGTGGTGCTGACTTTTTTGGCAAATGATGACAATGCTTCTACTTTTTAAAATCTTATTATTTAGTATAGCACAGTATCCGATAGCAGGAATTTAAAAAAAAAAACATGGGTGAGGCATTCACACACGTGGAACTGATTGCAGTGAATCAATTCCACATCTGCCGTAAAATAAACAGGCCTCTGGCGGAGTAGAAAAAATATGCTCCCCTGTCACATTACTCTGCATGTGCGTGTATCCCGTGTAAATACCCAATTTTAAATAGATGTAAAAAAATGCTGAACTCGATTTAAATAGGGTGTGTGTGGTGTTTGTTTTTTACTAGTAGGCTCTCACTGCTGATGAGAGGAAATAGGTTATACAAGGCAGCTTCCTGTTGTTGTTGTCGTTAAGTCATGTGCGACTCTTCGTGACCCCATGGACCAGAACACGCCAGGCCCTCCTGTCTTCCACTGCCTCCCAGAGTTTGGTCAAATTCATGTTGGTAGCTTCAATGACACTGTCCAACCATCTCATCCTCTGTCGCCCCTTCTCCTCTTGCCTTCACACTTTCCCAACATCAGCATCTTTTCCAGGGAGTCTTCGCTTCTCATGAGATGGCCAAGGTATTGGAGCCTCAGCTTCAGGATCTGTCCTTCCAGTGAGCACTCAGGGTTGATTTCCTTCAAAATGCATTGGTTTGTTCTCCTTGAAGTCCAGGGGACTCTCAAGAGCCTCCTCCAGCATCACAATTCAAAAGCATCAATTCTTCGGTGATCAGCCTTCTTTATGGTCCAGCTCTCACTTCCATACATCGCTACTGGAAAAACCATAGCTTTGACTATGGGGACCTTTGTCAGCAAGGTGACGTCTCTGCTTTTTAAGATGCTGTCTAGGTTTGTCATCGTGTTTCTCCCAAGAAGCAGGCGTCTTTTAATTTCATGGGTGCTGTCACCATCTGCAGTGATCATGGAGCACAAGAAGGTAAAATCTGTCACTGCCTCCATATCTT